TATATTATTATTACTAGGTGAATTATAATATAATATTTGCTGTGACTGCTTACAAACAAAGCTATTAGAACTCGACAGTCTGTTCGTCTCTCTTCTTTCCTTTATAATATTGGTTACTCTCTACAGTCACACCTCTTTAATCTTCTGCACATTATTACGAGCTGGGTATCCCGTTCGATGAACGGACTCAAAAGAATCGATCGTCAAGTCATTGTGGAACCAGTATGCACTGTTAGTGAACGGAAGCCTCACTTGTTTACAATGGAGTTTAAGAAGACGAACTTCCCAAAGATTAGATCTAAACGAAACTAATGAAAAACTGAAAATTAAACTACAGTGACTTCAGACTCCATATTATAACTGTGCACCCTTTAATTGATTCTGAACCACCATTAATTTTGTCAAATTCGAAAGTTAAGTGGTTGGGAAGTTTTAGGCGGCCAAAGTGACGAATTATCACAAACACAATTATGTATAGAGGACCTATTCGTGTTGCAAGTGCCGTAAAACTCTTCCTTGCACTAAAACTAAACCCACCGCAGGACTCTACCTCCTCTGGTGTGCTATAGAGCTGCTGTATTCCTCCTTACTCCAAGGAGACGCAGGGATGGGAGAGAGAGAGAAAGAATGGAAATATAGAAGATGAAAAAAGGTTTTAACATGGATAACATTGGCAAGAGCTGAGACAATATAGTCAATAGTGTTCTTTTACCATCGGAATAACACGTACAAAGGCATGTGTAGGCATGTTATACGTGATTCTGTTCCTCGGGTGTTGTTTTTTTGTTTGTTTGTTGTTTTGTTTTTTTTTGGGGGGGGGAGGGAGGGGGGCTTTTTGGGGAGGGGGTCCTGTGTTTATTTGTCTGTTTGTTTGTTTTTTGTTTAAGCTGTTATTTTACAGTAAACATAGGAAGAATTACGTTGCAAAACAAACTATAATCCTATATTATCCCAGATCGGGACATTTCTGGAAAACCTTCGTATACTTCCTTATCTAAAGAGAAAATTGTATGAAACTTTTTTTCTTTTCCCACAATACAATGTTGTGTCTCTGTTGGTGTAAGTATGATAAAATTGTGTTTCATTAGTACTTCTGTTTTCAGAAAATTATGAGTTTCTTCCCCGTGTTTCAGTTTTGTAGTAACGGAACGCACAATATTGAAGTCTACATGTAGTACGTTTTATCATAATACGCTTCACATTTTAACCGTTTTAACATTGTAGGCTATTCGTTATAAAAAGAACCATGGAATGACCGAATATGGATGAAAAAATAAAACATAAATATATAATATATCAAAGGTGCCAACAGGATAAAATGGGGTTGTTGTTTTTTTACTCATACAATCATAAAAATGGTATAGCAACAATAACATCGAGGAGTGATGGTAAATGAATGGGCTGTGATGTTGGACAATTTTCAGAGAGAGAGAGAGGG